GTAGCAATGCCAAAAACAGCAAGGACGGAGTACGTGATCAGAATGTTCAAAGAAAACTCGGTCAGGCACTTTGGTTTACCAAAGTCTATTATCAGTGACAGGGATGTCCGATTTACCAGCGATTTGTGGAAGGCCGCAGCTGCAGAGCAGGGAACCCAGTTGCAGATGACTTCTGGGAATCACCCAGAGGCCAACGGTCGGGCCGAGCAACTGAATCACGTTGTACAACACCTGTTAAGGCATTACATCAAGCCTAAGCAGGTGGACTGGGATGAGAAGCTTGCTCTCATCGCCAGTCTGTACAATATGCTGTACGCAGCGCCACCGGGGTGAGCCCAAACAATTTGCTATTGACTTCCAAGCCTAGACTACCCTTAGATTTTCTCCTTCTTGAGAATCAATCAACTGCTGCACCAGGTACTTTAGAATTTGCTTACCGGTATGAACAGAAGATACACAGGCTGTAGAACAAATGCAGAAGGCACAGGCGACTATGATAGAATCTGCGAACAAACACCGTCGTGAGTCTTCATTTCAGGTTGGGGACAGAGTCTGGGTTAAGTCCTCAGAACTAGGACAGGAGCACGGGATCTCCCGCAAGCTCATGCCACAGTACTTTGGACCACGGGAAGTCTTAGATATTGTTGGGACTGATCCGGATGGACCGTCTTACGTAGTCTGGATTCCTGGTCATCTCCTTACCCTGTCTTTCACGCCTCCAAGCTCGCACCTTTCAAAGAAACAGATCAGTTTCCATCTCGTTGCTCAATGCTGCCCCCAACCATGGACGGAGAAGTGGTATCGATGATATCGTGGACCACAGGGAGCTGCCAGTGTCAAGATCAACAAGCAGGGGATGTCCTCCGAAACCGAAGCTGCAGTACCGTGTTCGGTTCCGGCATCACACTGATCCAAAGGAGGACCGCTGGTTCACCAGGTAAGAACTCATGCAGACAACTCCGCAAGTTGTAGCACATTACGAGAGATCGCTGCAGAAGGGATTACGAGAGATCGCTGCAGAAGGGAAAGCGCCCAATGATTGAAGATTGAGCTTCTCAGAGGACTGTTGAAGCTAAGGAAAGGGAATGCGAGGCCGCTGCCTCTATGAGCCCCATACGGCCCCTTTTTGGAGCCTGTTGGCTGCCCTCAGGGCCTTATTTCGGCCACTGCGCAACTAAGGAAATTCAGGCAGTTGCACAGCGCCAGTTGGTTGAGAGAACCCAGGCCCTGGGCCGCCTGTGTAAATGTATGGAAAGCAGGCCCTGGGCTGGATACGGGTACTGGGCCAAACACAGGCCAAGGCAGTTGGGTGCATGCAACCACCTCAGGCCCCAGGCCTGATCTCGATCGTGCTGGGCCTCAGGCTACCGGGGCCTACTGGAAGCTTCCCGGGACTGGAAACAGGCAGGCCACTTCGATATAGCAAAGGGCCTGCCTCCGCATTCCTCATTCGGGTGCTGGCTGCATGCTGCGAAAGCGCTGCTGCGCTGAAGCTCGCTGGCACTCACAAGCTCACAGGCGACCAGGGAAGGAGCAGGCAGCCATAGCCGAGCTGCGCTGTGGTAAGCTGGGTGTGGCGCAGGGTGGTCCTTGGCTGCAAGTGGCATGTGTGTTGGGGAACGAGGTTGTGAGTAAGGCGAGAGACATACCTCGTGCTGGAAGCGCGCGACATTGGTCGCTGTATGCTCGTACTTCGGGAGAGTTGTTGTCGTCAACTTTGGCAATGTAGTATAGGCTAGATAGGATCTGCCATATGTAGTCTGGGCGCCGAGCGCCAGATAGGATATCAACTCTGGTTCTTCGTTGATGATGATGATGGGACTATTTCAGCCCTGTCTCTTATACACATCTAGATGTGTATAAGAGACAGGGTGAAACTCGTGATGCAATTCTGCTGTTGGTTCGAGGTCACGACTATCTGGACTCATATGTATGATGCTGTTTGATTGCTGAAGTTCGCTATTGCTCATCTTCCTTGCAGTTTTGGTATCGGAGCGGACCTTTCAATCAGAGGACCCGCTCAATCAAGTAGCCAGCTTGCTTGATCTATTGATTGTTTATTAGTAAATCAAGTAAGACTTCGTCAAATCTCTGCAAAATTTTTCACGCAACAAATATCTGAAAATTTCTGATATTTGCATACATAGCCGAAAATTTCTGATGTTAGCATTTCGTTTTCTAGGCATATTAGGATAACGATGGAGGTGGTCATATTCTCGAAAACCGGATTTATTCTTTTCTGAAAATCGAATCTCCATTCTATCTCACAATTTTTTTTTGAAAACCGAAATCTTGCGAAGCCTATCAGCCATACTTGCAGCGCACTGGAGCGGTGCGGTGCGCCGTGTGGAATGCGCGCGGTGACACCGCGCGCGCATGGGCGCGCGAGTGCGCACGAGGTGCACATGGGGACGCGATACCCCTGCAAGGTGCACATTGTGTGCCATGCCTCTTTTCGGCGTGTGTGTGTGTGTGTGTGTGTGTGTGTGTGTGTGTGTGTGTGAGAGAGAGAGAGAGAGAGAGAGAGAGAGAGAGAGAGAGAGAGAGAAGAAACCGTGTGAGAGAGTGAAGAAACCGTGTGAGAGAGAAAAGAAACCGTGCTGACACTATCGGACCGAAGAAACCGCCCTTATCAACGGGCAACATGAATCTGGAAGCGGGGCGACATGCACAAAGGACAAAAAATATGGCGGTGTATCTTTCCATGTTATGGAGGAAGATTCATTCATACGTTGGGTGGTGGAGAGCGAAGGGCCGATGAATCAGGTAAGCATGTAACGTATCTCTGGAACCTTTCTTTTTTTTTTTTTGGAGAATCTCTGAACAAATAAGACTGAATCCTCCGCTTGAACATGGAAAGATACATTGCCATATATGTCTTGTTGTGCATGTCGAGAGTAGTGCAGCAAGCCCGTTGGTGAACATTACCGAGGTTCTGACAGGTTGGACGCGCCGTGCTTCACTCGTGCAAAGAAATTATGATGTTCATCCTTTACGATTTTTTTTTTATATTAAAAAATACAAAAAAATCCAGGAAAAACGATTGTCAGTTCCGTCATTTTTTAATTGAGAAGTAATAAGAAGAGAACGTTTTGAGAGATCGCGACCCTCGTCATGACTGAATCTGGCCTGCAAAAACCCTACCATACAGAATAAAATTACCGTTGAGGTTCTGACAGGTTGGACGTGCCAGACGACACTCATGCAAATAAATTCTGATTTTTTTCCTTTACGTTTGTCAGTTCCGTCGTTTTCTACTTCAGAAGTAATAAGAAGAGAACGTTTCCAGATATCGTAACCGTCATCATGACTGAATCTGGCCTACAAGAACCCTACCATACAGACTGCAATAACCCTACCATACACACATAGTGTTACCCGAACTACAGGTTACTAAAAGCTTTCAGGCCAACGCGCGGTCTCCAAAAAAATTTTGGCGGCCCATTTCTTATTTCATGCGAGCAGGGGGCCGGGTCTACTACCGCCTCTCACAACTTTTTTTTTTTTTTTTGACCCCCATTTTTGGAGGTGTGCCGCATGCAGTGCGCGCACATCATGCGGGATGCGCGGTGCGGCGCACGTGCGCAGTGCAGCACATCGCGATGCGACGCAAGTATGCTATTAGCATTTCGATTTTAGGCATATTAAGAGGTCATATTCTCAGAAACCGGATTTAGTTCTTTCCTGAAAATCGCATCTCTACTCTATTTCGCTCAATTTTTTTTTCAAGATCACATTTTTTTTTTAAGCCGAAACTTTGCGGAACCTTGCCTAGATCTCGCTCATAGTACTCCTCTGAAATGCCTCACTCATAGCAGATCAACAGATATTGTTGCATACTTTAACGGTGCAGACCAAAACAAGAACCGACCTCTCAATACAAAGTACACGATAGAGTAGCGGAAGACTTAGATACCAATGATCCGAACAATCAATATTGCAATGCAGCCCTGAACATACATCATCATCATCATCGTTCCATGCTGTGAAAGGGGTCCGGCGTTTCACACAGGAAGACTGCGCCAGCCCCAACCATACACAGACGAAGGAGAAGGGGGTTAGACGAAGAGGAGGGGGAAGATGGGAATGTCGTCAACACCAAGTCTTCTGCAGAGACCCAAATAGTCCCTCGTCAAAATTTGTGAATCCCAAATGCCGAGTCTGGATCCAATGTCGTCAAGTCTCAAGTCACAACTCTCTCTCTCTGTAGTAGGCTGAGAAGTCAGGTGGTGAGAGGGTGAGAAGAGATGGTGGACTTAGAAGAGGAAGAAGAAGAACTCTTCCTCTCTCTGTGTCCAGTACTAACCTGTGAAGTTGGCGCCTTGATGCAGGTACCTCGAAGATGGAGCTGGAGCTATGGCGCCACAGGTAAGTACCGCTGGCCTCCGCCAGCCATCTCCCTCCAACGCTACTACTACCACCTACTAGCGCCCAGCGCTGAGGACTACACCTACAGCTATGGGCGAACAGCGCCGAAGACTACTGCTAGCGCTGAAGACTACTGCATAGCTCCTCCTGAGTGCTGCGGCCGAATCCTGAAGACTACTCGTGCCTACTGTCCAACTACCTACCCGTGAAGTGCATGGGAACTTCCTATGTACTACCGGGTGCCTCCTGACTGCAGGCCAGGCAGTCCAGGAGGCTGCTCTTGCCAATGCCGAAGGGAGGCAGGGGCTGCAGCTGCAGCTCCTGCTCGAGCTGTCGTGGGGAACAGGCTAAAGACAGCCTATTCCGAAAACCCTGTTTTTGTGCCAGAGTCCTAGGGTCGGTTGAAACGATGAGGGCCTGAAAATGGCCCTCCGTTTCAGGCTGAAAAGCCTCTGGGCCTGAAAGGCCGAGAAATAGGCTGAAAACGGAATACGGCCTACAGGCCCTCGTTTTGAGTTTCAGGCTGAAACGACCGGGGCCTGTAAGCCCTATTTTCTAGGCTTTTAGGCTAAAAGTGTGGGACGGGCCTTGCAGTAAGCCACACCCCCCCCTCCTTGAAAGACAAAGCTTACCTGAGAGGGTGAAACTGTCTGTCTGAGGCTAGGACCACAGTCCGGGTGGGAGGAGCCTGTCGTGAAGCTTCCTGAGCTAACCTTTCCTTCTCATAATGCGCGTAGATCAGCGGTGCGGATGCTTTCAAATCTGCTCCTGAAATCCACCGAGTGTCGTCGCGATCGCAGGCTTTGAATGTCACTTTGTACTGTCGCGGCTTACTGTCGTACTTGCGATCGGTGATGACACGGTCAACTTCCTGATGACCATCCATAGAAGGAGGGTCCTGCGATTGTCGGCCCGGAAAGTCGTCGCTCTTAGCTGGTGTGTATGTTGCCAGCTTTGAGGCGTGAAAGACGAGATGGACCGTCAACTGCGGGGGAATGTTGATCACAAATGAAGGGCCATCGGGCTCATCGCCCGCAGCTGATGTTACAGGCCATGGTCCAAACCACTTGGGAAGCAGTTTGCGTGAGACATCCTGTTCCAGTGCAAACTCTTCCGCGGAAACCTTAACCAGGTCGCCGGCGCGGATGGGACATGGCACGCGATGCCTGTTGGTTTGCTGCTGCATGCGGACTTGAGCCTTTTGCATATTCGCGTGGGCTTGAGCCAGCAATTCCCTGCACTTCTGGACGGAAGAGGGAGAGCAAGCGACATCGATGTCGGCTGGTCGTGGGAGGAGAAGGTCGGCGAAGATACGGCCTTTCCGTACACCGTGGTGCAACTCGAATGGAGTCACGCCGATCGCAGGGTGCACCGAAGTGTTGTAGGCAAACTCGCTGTTGGGGAGGCGGTCAACCCAATCTTTCTGGTCCGGACGGATGAGCGTACGAAGCATCATCTGAGCGGTTTGATGTGCCCGCTCCGTCTGCCCGTCTGTCTATGGATGACGAGCCGAACTTGGCTTCATCTTCGAGCTGGACTCCTACATGAGTGCAGTCCAAAATGCCGACATGAAACGAGTATCGCGGTCGCTGACTATGTCTTCCGGTACACCATGGCCGCAAATCCAGGCGGTGTGCAGGAGGCGTGCCAGCTCGGGAGTCGTGGAGTAGTACTTGCAAGGGAGAAAACGCGCGTACTTACTCAATCGGTCCACGACCGTGAGGATGTCGTCGTGTCCGAGGCGGTCGCAGGGGAATGGTCCGGTGACATCCACGGCAATGGAGAGACCGGGTTCCTGCGGGATCGACATCGGGCGCAGCTCGCCATAGGGGTTGCAGTTGCGGGGTTTGCTTCGTCGGCAAACTTCGCAAGAGTCGCAATACTTCGTGACATCAGTGATGAGGTCGGGCCTTCGGAATCGTTGTCGAAGCCGTGCAATAGTGCGGTTGACTCCGAAATGGCCGGCGAGTCGCGAATCATGATACTCGCCGAGGAGGCGAGTCCTTAGACGGCGGTCGCGTGGGACACATAGTAAGTCCTTGCCCCGCGAGTGCAGGAGCAAGTACCCATCGGCGATGCGATAGTGGCTGACCGATGGGTGATCCGAAGATAGTTGCGCATATAGCGTGGCGAAATCTGGATCGGACTCGTAGCCCCGGATGAAGTGTCGCTGAAGCTCCTCGTCGAATGCGAGGGCATGATGTGTCATAGCGCAAAGATCAGGTCTTCGTGGGAGTGCATCTGCTGTGCGATTTGAGAGGCCGGGAAGATGTTTCAGTGTGAAGTCAAATTGGTCGATGAAGTACATCCATCGTCCGATCGTGCTGCTCACCGTGTCCTGCGTCTTGTAGTAGGTCAATGGATTTTTGTATGTAATCCATGTGAACCTACGACGCCCAAAGAGGAAGTGCCGCCATCGCTTGAGAGCCATGACGAATGCGAGCAGCTCCTTCCTTGCATCATCAAGCGAGTTGATGGGAGGCACTTTGTGGCTGAAATACTCCACAGGGTGCCAGTCGTCGTTGTCGTGATGTTCCAAGACTGCCCCAATGCCATAGCCGGAAGCGTAAGTCGTTACTCTCGTAGGCAAGGTGGGGTCATAGATGCTAAGGACGGGTGCCATGAGCATAGCCGTCTTAAGTGCTTGGAATGACCGGCGTGCGTCGTCATCGAATACGAATGGCACCTTTGGCGATTGTAATCTCGTCATAGGTGCAGCAATCATCGAGTATCCGGTGATGAATCGCTGATAGTAGCCCGCCAATCCCATGAATGAACGAACGTCCGTGGTGTTGGTGGGCTCGGGCCATACTCGTAGGGCCTCGATCTTGTCTGCAAGCGGACGGATGCCTTGCGGCGTCACATAATGTCCCAAGTACTCCAGCTCCTGCCGCACGAATTCGCACTTATCACGGTTGGCTTTTTACTTGGCTTGTCGTAGCTGCTCCAAAACGGTGCGCAGGTGTTCCACATGCTCCTCCAAACTCCGGCTGTACACCAGAATGTCGTCGACATAGATAAGTACGTATCGATCCAGCATGTGTCGGAACTCCGTTGTCATAGCCGCTTGGAAAGTGGTCGGGGCATTCGTAAGGCCAAATGGCATTACCAGCCATTCAAAATGCCCATATCGCGTCTTAAACGAGGTCTTGTAGTGGTCCTCCTGCCAAATCTCGAGTTGGTGATATCCCGACTTGAGATCGAGCTTGGAGAAGAACTTGGCGCCACCCAGTCGCTCGAGAAGATCGTCGATGCGTGGGAGAGGGCCGGCGTTTCTGATCGTCTGCGCGTTGAGCTTGCGATAATCGATGCACAACTACAAATCCTTGTTCTTCTTCCGGACGAAGAGAACAGGAGCACCTTATGGCGATGAGATAGGCCGAATCCAGCCTTTCTCCAGAAGGTCGTCGAGTTGTGCCTGAAGCACACTTAACTCTTCCTCGCTCATTCGGTAGATGCAACAGAGTGGAGGTACGGCCCCGTCCTCGAGGATGATCTCGTGGCGGATGGGCCGATCCGGTACAACTCCGTGCGGGCATTCGAACACGTCGTTGTAGGCGTCGAGAAGCTCGGTGATGCGTGGATCCGAAGAAGAGTCCGTCGATGAAGCATCATGGGGCGGGAGGGCATGGAGAAAACACACCCCCATCTCCTCGATGTCGTCTCTAATGATGGAAGCTCGCATCTTTGTGGCGGATACCACGTGGCAACTGGTCGAAAGATGAGGAAGAGGCACCGTACATGGGACTAGTATTCCGTTCCGATCACGAATGTGAACAGTGCGGTGATAGAAGTTCACCGGGTAATCCTCGCTTCGCAGCCATGACATACCCAAGATCATGTCAAATTTGGTGTCCAGAATGTCAAAGGACACCGCCTCACTTGCGTGAGGGGCAAAGTACACTGGGACGTCATCAATGCACTGATCGATTGACTTGTGCGTGTGACCGTCCGCCAACGTGACTTGCGTAGGCTGGGGCTTCCTTCGGACGCGTGGGCCAAGGCCGGCGCGCACCATGAAGTCCTGGCTGATGTAGTTGCGAGATGCTCCGCAATCGATCAAAGCGCTGCAGTCGTGAAAGCTTCCCACCAGAGCACCGGGTCCTGATGCGTGTAGTCGTCGAACTTCTCAAGTTGAAAAGTTGGCATTTTGTATTGCTTTGGATTGTTGCCATCCGTGTTCGTCGACTGCAGTTGCTGGACCTCGGTCTTCAAAGTATCCAACTGATTGCTGATGGTGGTCGCCCAGCGAAAGTGCTGATGTCGCCGAGCATTGCGACGACGTGGTCGACGCGTTGCTGCTCCAGTTGGCGGTTAGAGGGTGCACTGCTGGACTCACCAGCATCTGGTCCTGGTACAGCTTGCTCCAGGTCCAGTACACGGGAATTGAGTGCCCGTGTAGCATCCTCGTGGCTCTGCACCATCCGGCGGAGGTTCGCCAACTCCTGGTGCTGTGTCTTCAGATCCTGGTACTGTTGCTGCAGTTCCTGGTTCTGTCTCTCTAACTCGGACTGTTGGTAGTTGCGAGTGTACAACAACCGTGTCACGAGTTTGGAGAGGAACTCCTTATGCTGCTCTTCCGGTGTCGCGTCGTCGCCGTTGGTTTCAAAGTGCCAGAACTTGAGTCTTTCGATGCTGGCGGCTTCATGCCGCTGCAGCAGATCCTGGGCTTCCTTGCGGTGTGCCTGGGTATCTGCGTCAGCTTCGGCCTGTAGCCGCTGCTTCTCAGTTGTTGCCGCTGCTTCAGCCTGTAGGCGGGCAGCCTCGGTTGCCAGCTGGCGCTGTTCCTCAGCCTCAATCAATGCGAGCTGAGTCTGGAACCGCTGTTTGTATTCGGCAAGAGAATCGTTGGCCAGTTGGCCTGGCATGCCCAGAGCTGCGCCCGTCATGGTGGCAGGGCACTGCTGACGTGCACTGTGACGTGGCACTGTTGACGTGGCACTGTTGCTGGCGCGGCACTGTTGCTGGCACGACACTGTTGCTGATGTGGCACTGCTGACATGGCACTGTTGCTGACATGGCACTGTTGCTGACGTGGCACTGCTGACGTCACTGCTGACGTGGCACTGTTGCTATCGTGGCACTGCTAACGTGGCACTGCTGATATGGCACTGTTGCTGATGTGGCACTGCTGACGTGGCACTGTACCAACCCGGACATGCATGCAAAGGGTGGGTGGGGAGGGAAAACGTAGGTAGAGGAACCAACCCAACAATACTTTCCTCTTGGACCTAATCAACAGATAAAAAGAAATAAAAAAATAAAAGAGTACTACTCTTTTTTTTTTTTTTTGTATATCTGTCGATCTATGATGAGTGAGACATGTCAGAAGAGTACTATGAACGAGATCTAGGCTAGTTTCCGCAAAGTTTCGGCTTTTACAAAATGCGATCTTGAAATTTTTTTTTGTGAAATGGAGTAAAGATGCGATTTTCAGAAAAGAACGAAATCCCGTTTCTGAGAATATAGCAATGTCCGAATATGCCTAGCGAAATGACGGTAGGCTTTGCAAGATTTTGGTTTTCAAAAATGGCCCTCCGTTTCAGGCTGAAAAGCCTCTGGGCCTGAAAGGCCCAGAAATAGGCTGAAAACGGAATAGGGCCTGCAGGCCCTCGTTTTCAGTTTCAGGCTGCAACGACCGGGGCCTGTAAGACCTATTTTCTAGGCTTTTAGGCTGAAAGTGCGGGACGGGCCCTGCAGGGCCCGTGTGGCTACGCAGTATGCCACAGATATACAAAAAAAAAAGGAGAAAGGGGGGGTGATCCTCTTCATTAACTTTTTATTCTTATTTTACTCTGTTGATTAGGACCGGGAGGAAAGTATGGTTGGTTGGTTAACTACCTGCATTTTCCCTCCCACCCAACCCTTGCCTGCATTGCAAGGAACCCGACTATTCATCACTTGCTGGAGTGCATCAGATCACATGCATATACAATGATTTCACAGTTTGCGATGTCTCACACAAAACCCAATAGAAGATGAATGAGAACCAGGATAATCAACTCAGTTATCAAACCCAGAATTAGAGAGAGAACATCGTGAGTTCAAAGTGTATAGCGCTGAACAGAGTTACAAGTCTTCTTCGATCAACATGAGTTGCAAGCCTGGCGCTCATCAGCGCCAGCTGCCAGATGTCAACAGCGCTCACCAGGTAGTATTACCATAGCTCACACTTTCCCCTCTCTCGTCTGCCTTCTTCTCTCTCTCCCTCTATGTCTATAGTCCTGGTCTACCGTCACTCATCATGCATGCACACTCCCTATCACACAAGGATCTACTCTGAATACTACTCACTGGTATCTCCTATTGACTATCCCTACTAACATACTGACTAGCGCTGGTGCAGCCATGGCTGCCTTCCCTCTAGCCAGCACTCTCTTCCTTTCCACATAGCGCTGCTCTTCAGCCTAGCGCAGCTCACACACATCCAGCGCACAAGTGCCACCGCACTTCCACACTCTCATGCGAAGTGAGCATCTGTCCAATGGGAGGCTGGCCAGTCGTTTATAGTGCTGGACTGGTCTGGCGTAGCCTGCATTCAGTCTCAAATGTGCCTGGGACTCCTGCCCAGTACCGATTGTTGAAAAGTGTGTATCCCAGTATCTTTTCCCATGGTCTGCTGCTGCTTTGAGCCATCGGGCTGAATCAGGACTGACTCATGGGATTATGACTGAACTGGGACTGTGGCCTTTGACTCGTTGCCGAACAGACACGACTTTCCATCGAGGAGACATGACCAACTCAGTCTTGAAAACAGTGTCCGATACCTGTTCGTGCAGGACCTGTTTGTGACTGCTCAAAACAACTTTTCATTTCATTATGGATGCGACATTTGCCTCAGGAACTTTGTCTTTTGGGTTGCTGCTCGTGAATTTAAGTTCTGGCCGACAGGGCCCCTCACTGTTGACATTCATCTGGGGTCTAATCTGTAAAGGCCCTTTTAGCATTCCCAGTTTGGNAGCACACAAGGGGGAAAAAAAAAAAACACAGAAAAAATCGCTCCTCGTGGCGCTGCCACGCGGCGCGATTTTGGGCCTTCCACACTCCACCTTCGCCCTGATCCCCTTCCCCGTCCCCCCATCTTTCCCGCATCCATGACATGTACCGCTATCCCTCCCGCTCTTCCCCTTTGTCACTGTACCATCCTTACCCCTCGACTATCCCTTCCCTCCCATGACGTTGTGCCATGCGCCCCCTCCTCCTCTTCCTCCAACTTCACCCGCGCTCTCTCTCTGCGCCTCTTCAAATTCTTTCCTTCCCCGTCCTAGAGTGGCTTCTCCAGCGCTTCTCTTCCCTCCTTTCCCCAATTCTCACGCACCCCTCTTCACTCTCCTTCTCCCACCAATCCGTTTGTGTATTCCCCTCTCTCTCTCTCTCTCTCTCTCTCCACCTTCGCCTAACCTCTTCCCTTTTTTGCCCTCCCTCCTTCCATCTGCCTCCCTCCAGCCGACTTCACCCTGCCGTCTTTCCCCCCCCTCCTTTCACTTCCTCCTCTTCCTCTTCACGCTTTTTCCTATGCGCGTCTCCCCCTTACCTCTTCGCTTCCTCCATATGTCACTCAACCTCTAAACTACATTCTGCTTTTTGTCCTCCCACCGCCATACTTCTCCCTGTCACCTCCCTTTTCTCCCGGCCTCCTTTGGACCTTGTCTTAAAACCTCCCTCTGCCCTCCCTTCGCCTGGCCACCTCACTCCCCTTCCTTCGCCCAATTTCCACCTGACCTCCTTCCCTCTATCTCCTCCGTCCTCCTCTTTACTCCACCCGATTTGCACTGACATCCTCCTTCCCCCAATCTCCTTCCTCCCCTTCCTTCCTTTGCCCGATCTACACCTGACCTCCTGTTTCCGCCCAACTCTTTGTCGCCTTTCCCCTGTCTACTAGCCTCCTTTGCGCCTTCTCTTCAGCCTCCCTCTGGCCTTCGTCCGCGTGGCCGCCTCATTCCCCTTCGTTCGCCCGATCTCTGTCTAACATCCTCCCTCACCCGATCTTCTTCCTCCCCTTCCTTCCTCAGCCCGATCACCACTTGACCTCCTCCTTCCATTCCTCCCTCTGTCCTACTCCCTACCTCCCCCTTCTTCCCTCGACCAGCCCCCCTTCTTTCGTAACGCCCGACCTAAGAGCGCTGCTTTTTCTTTACCTAGTGGACGTAAACGCTCCATTTGTTATCAAGATCGCTCCATTTCTTTCAAAGACCTCAACACGGTTGCACACGCGCAAGAAGGAGATAGGGGAAGTAGGAGAAAAGAAAACGCATTTCACCAAACACACTTCCTCCTCTCGCTCTTCCTTCCTCGCACATTCTTTGTCCTTGTCTGTCTCTTCCACCACCACGTCTTCTGCCTCAAGATCTTCCTCAAAATTCCTCAAAATTCTCCATCAGTCTTTTCTCTTTGGAGCGGCCTTATGATTAACTGCCCAGTGCCAGGTATATAAGGGTATCAATATTTCTTACCATATTTCACTCTCTTGCTCCCCAATCCCTACACACATCACACTAAGTCAGCTCTCTCTCTCTCTCTCTCTCTCTCTCTCTCTCTCTCTCTCTCTCTCTCTCGTCTCTTATACACATCTAGATGTGTATAAGAGACAGAGACCCGGCAGCCACCCAAGCATCACCTGAAGGAGATCAGGTGGCCGCCATCCAGCCGCGAATCAACAACAACTCCCGGGAGAAGGGAAGGCGAAAACCGCATCGTCGACCGGAAATGGACAGCCATTACCACAGCTCGGGAAACTGAGCTGCCCGAGAGGTGAGGCGACTCCACCTCTATTTCTGACAGATTTGGCCGCCTTGCTAGCGGCCTCCTACACATCTGCGGAGGAGGCGCACATCGCAAGTCCTTTGTAATATTAAGAGGATTACGCTGTCCACTTGGTCCCACTGTTGGACCAACCACTCCACATGCAACAATCCACCGCATGCACGGTTTCACCACCATCGGCAACCGATTCGGCGTATATCCGCCATCTATCGCAGGGGATTCGACGTCATGGTCAAGACTTGAAGATCTCGACCCGTTGACGTTTGCGGACTTCCAATGGATGCCCGTTCCCACGACCGGTCAATTGCCGAAACCGCATTGCAACGTGCTCAAGGCACAATTGCGGGATTACTTGCACACTGCAGTACCAGCTCCGTTGATGGACGCCAGAGTAGAGGTTGTCGACCTTCACGACTACGTTGCAAAGATCGACCACTAGTTCAAGACACAACGGTACGACGACATCGACGAGCCATTGTTGTACATATGCATTCAGATCGGAGAGGCGACCTGCAGCACTTTGATCGATTGCGGAAGCACTCGCAACTATATGGGCAACGATTTTCTGGTATGCAATGGCTTGGGGCCATGCGTTGGGAGGAAGTCGCAGCCCACGCAAGTCACGTTGGCTGACAGTCACACGCACAAGTCAATCGACCGGTGCATTGACCCCGTCCCAGTGTACTTCGCCCCACATGTAAGCGAGGGCGTGTCCTTCGACATGTTGGACACCAAGTTCGCAGATTTGCAAGCATCTGCACCGCTGATCTACGCCGACTACGAGCGACGAAGACCAGCAAAGGAAGCTTCGCAAACCTGGCCCTCCCACCCGGACTTTGGTCCCTCCCTCCGACAGGCAACTTCGCCCTCGCAGGTAAGCTCGGTTTTTCAAGGAGGGGGGGGTGTGGCATACTGCGAATCCACACGGCCCGACCAAACAAGGAAAGTAAAGGCTAAAGGCCCTACAGGCCCTGTTTCGTTTTCAGCCTGAAAGCCTGAAAACAAGGGCCTACAGGCCCTGTGTCGTTTTCAGCCTGAAAGCCTGAAAACAAGGGCCTACAATCGACCGGTGCTGAACTGTCTTCACACATTGCTCCAAGAAGCACAAGACATTGGCCCTGAGGCTGGACAGCATGCCAGCAGCCTGTTCGA